TGATAAACTTAGGTATGAATAATGCCACAGCAAGCGATTTTGTAAATGTCTGAAAGACCCCCGGTGGCTCAGCGGTAAGCTCTAAGGCTTATCACGCTACAATTCAGGGTTCAATCCCCGTGGCGGATACAGGGTAGTTAGTCCGTTGTGCAGCTACGCGCTAGAGGAAAGAATGGGCAGAAGAAAATGTTAAACTAACTGTGTATCACCAGTAATTTTCGCGTGAATTGTACACTTGACGTTGGAATTAAGAAAAAAAAAACACATTTGAAAGTAATATCTAAACATAACTAAGTTTAATGCTTTTTATAGCAGTAATTAATTTTTGTGTAAATTTACATCCAAAAACAACTGAACTGTACTTCTGTATATGCTTTTAATAGCTCGTGCTATAATTAGAAAATTCTCCTTCAATTTCTATTACATTCAACACTTTTCATATCGTGTAATCAAGTGATTCTCAAAGGACAGAAAGTGAACTGATTAAATTTCTAAAGGTTATTCTGTCCATGTATCATTTCCTTGCAAAAAAAACACCACGTCTTTCCAGTTATATTAACAACATGTCTCTCCTGTCAACATAACACCGTGTTCCTCCTGTCATTATAACAACACCATGTTTTCCCTGGTAATATAACGTCATCTTTCTCCTGTTAATATTCATAATGTCAGAAAAATCTGTAAGTTCGAGAAGTCTTAATATAAAACGATAAAAACTGTGTAACTTCTGTTAATATAACACCATGTCCCTCCTGTTAATATACCATGTCTCCCCAGTTAATATAACATCATGTCCCTCCTGTTAATATACCATGTCTCTCCAGTTAATATAACATCATGTCCCTCCTGTTAATATACCATGTCCCTCCTGTTAATATAACACCATGTCTCTCCAGTTAATATAGCACCATGTATCTATTGATAATGTAACATCATGTCTCTCCAGTTAATATAACACCATGTCTCTACTGATAATGCAACACTATGTCTCTCCAGTTAATATAACACCATGTCTCTATTGATAATGTAACATCATGTCTCTCCAGTTAATAAAACACCATGTGTCTATTGATAATGTAATACCATGTCTCTCCAGTTAATATAACATCATGCCTCTCCAGTTAATATAACACCGTTTCTCTCCAGTTAATATAACACCATGTCTCTAGTGATAATGAAACACCATGTCTCTCCAGTTAATATAACACCATGTCTCTTTATATTCTTATAGTATTATACCCTCCTATCCTTAGGTTCTTATAGTATTATACCCTCCTATCCTTAGGTTCTTATAGTATTATACCCACCTATCCTTAGGTTCTTATAGTATTATACCCTCCTATCCTTAGGTTCTTATAGTATTATACCCTCCTATCCTTAGGTTCTTATAGTATTATACCCTCCTATCCTTAGGTCTTATAG